CTCCCGTCACCTGAAACCCTGCAGATTTTGCCCAAAGTGGACATTGCTTTGACAGCAGCCTCTCAATGCACAAAGGGAGAAGGACGGCTGTCTCTCTCTCAGATGATAACCTGACATGAGACCAGATGCAGAAATAAAAAGCGTATTTTAAATGTAAAGCTCACATAAAAGAAAAACAAGTTGTCTCTCTTCCAGTCATACAATAAGCATCATTCATTTGGAAAGGTCAATATTAATTAGCAAATCCAGCAGGGATAGTCTGTCACAGGGTTTTTTTGTGCATCTGGTTGTTCTCTGTTGCAAATGAAAGATAATCCATATTCAGTTAGAGGTCTGAAAGCCGACTTGTCTCTGAAATCCCAACCTCCTTTAAACAACTGGTATATATAATTAATTTAATTTTAAAAATTCAACATGTTCAAGTAGATTATCCTTGATTGTGGCTGCTTCCACAGTTCTGAATTCTTAAGTTTAAAATCAAAGGTAATCTCAAAAAAACCCAGGAGATAACCAAATTGAGTTACATGCCAGACTGACAGGATAGTGGCATTTAACCTTGGGGAAGGGCTGGCTTTTCTTTCATGCCTGGATTTCAAATAAAAATGTGGCAAAGGACTCTCAAGGGAAAAAAAGACACCACCACTGTCTTTGGGTGGCATCTTTCAGTCACAAACCAAACCCAAAATTCAGTCTGCATTGCTCCGAAGACCACTTTATACTTTTAAGATATTAATTATTCATCCCATGGAATTAGGAAGGCACAGCTGAGATGCTTTGCCCCTTGCAGGGAAAGCCCAGAGAAGATGGCTGTTAGGATTGCCGGTCATCTACAAATGCTTCTTTGGTCAAAGCGAGGGCTGCTCTCAGTGCCTCCTGTTATAGACCCAGATGTCAGAAGCTTGTGAAGTCTGTATGGAAGATGGAAAGCATGAACTAATGGTGACAGAGGCTAATTGCATTATGTGACCCCAAAGTTTGTATTTTAAAGACCACTACAGTAACATGGAGCAATAAACTTGAAACTGCAGCCCCTCCTTCCTTGAAATATTTTGTTGTAAATTTTGCACATGGGTAATGGATAATTAGAAATAGGTTTTTAGTCTACAGATACATATTAAGAAATGAACACTAAAAAAAACCCTTAAAGCAACATACGGCATTTAAATAGATTATAACTTCTGAAGTATGCAATGACTAAGATATTAAGGCTATTACACAGAATATCAATAGGAGTTATACTCTTGAGCGACTCAAATTCCCTTGTTGCATAACTGTACAGTTTCTATTTACCACTTAATTCTGAATTTAATAGTTCCGATGAACAACTGAAAAAGCTCTTCATTTTTTTCCCACTTCACATGCTCAAGCTCAGTTTTCTTTAGCTGATTGCTTTATTGGATATTTGTTGAAACAGCCATATGTACCTATCTAGTCTACAAGCTGTTTGGAAGAATGGTATTATCTCCATGAACATTTATAAGGAGCTCTGAATATAATATTAGCAAGAAAAGATCAAAAACAAATTAGCAACTATTTGTAATTGAACAGTTGCATATTATACTGCTATAAGTATTTTTTAGTCAGGATGCTCTTACTGCCACAGTATCCTTATGCATGTCTTCCATGTCACCTGAATCCCTTGCATGAGAATTTATGGAATTTGGGGTGAGGGGTAGTTCTTTTATTTATTGGTTATTCCCAGCTCACTGCTCTAACTGAAAATACTTTTGCAGCTGTTGGCTTCCCTTGTTTCGCTGTTGTCACCGATTTCCAATATACTGCCTTCTTTCTACACTGCATTGCCATGCATGTTGCCTGACTAACGCTTCAAAGACGACCTTTGGGTGTTTTGCCACATACCCTATTTTAGATGGCAGATTCTATATTATTTAAATTAATTCCCTTTTTCTTGCTGCTTCAGTCTGACCTCCATATGTTTTAAATATTTACCTATAACCCCATGGACTGCAAGAACACCTTCTTCCTTATTCCCATCCCTCTACTATTCTAAATAAGCAGGGACATGCATCTCTTTTTTCACTTCCTCTCCAGAATATGTTGATGGAATTCTCTCCCACTACTTGCGAAGTCTGATAATACCACGGAACAGTAATATGTATGTATCTCCCCTATGGTTACAGATTGGGCTTTCCTAGATATCCATTTGGAATGGCCACATATGTTTTGCTTCTGATTGCTCACCCAGCATTGCATGATCTATTAAAGACGTGTTATAAGAAGCAGTTTCAGGTAGTCTATTAGAAAAACAACACATTTTATCACACCTTATCAGTATCTCAATGACCATTTAAAACTCAGCTACTGACCTGATATTCTGTCAATGCCTTATGGATGGACCTGGTGGTCTGAGACCATTTTTTTCTAAGGAACAGAAGTCCCCACCACAACTCATCACACAAATTGGCAGCTTGCTAATAAATCTCAGCATAGGCACCAAGGATGAGTAGATATGGAAGAAGTCTCTTGCCTCTTCCATGTCAGAGCCATCAAAGATTTATATGGGAAACCTTGTAGCGTTGCTGTCACTAATGCCGAACAGAGAGATTTTGCCACTGAGTTTAGCAACCCAGAAATCTTCAAGAACACTATAATTTATTAACATCCTGTGTCAGTGACTTACACTACAGATATTAGTATGTAATTTATTTTTACAGTATGACACAGTAATTATTCATGGCACTCTCTAGACTTGTACAAATGGAAGGGCCTCAACTGACTTCAGCCCAGCTATACAGATCCAGATAACAAAGGGTCTGAAAAAGGAGTAAAACCAAAAGTTCACAGCATAGGCTCAGCATCCAGGTATTTTTTTTGTAAGTTTAACATTGGATGTTTTATCCCTAAAAATATGTACATCCATTACAATCTCAGAACAGCATCTGAAACACAGCACATAAAGATATTAGACTGAATTAAGAAAGTATGGTTGCATGGCAGATCATGAGGATTTACAGTGCCTATACTCATAGCTGTTTTGGTTGAGAAGTGAAGTCAGTTATGGCGAAAGGTGGAAAGGCGACCTGAGCTAGGAGCAGGGTACTGACCATGTGTATGCACCACGTGTACAGCAACTGTAAAGAGGAATCAGATGCACAGTGAAGGTACTAGAGAGACAATCATGCAAATATGTGATTTCCCAGACTGATTGGCTTTTATGATATATCCTTTTAGGTTGCTGTGGGTTTTATATAATTGGTTTTGCTTGCCTCTGAGAGCTATATTCAAACCGCTTCAATCAGCAGTACGTGGGCCTATTCCTTTTAATGCTTTGGAAGTTCTACCATTGCTGTATCAATTTTGTATTGTACACACTCAGCTTCTCAATGAGCTTGACTTGAGTTCAGTGCAGCAATGCTACATTAAATGGCTATTTTCTAACTCATAGATCTGGAAAATGGGGTTTAATCAATGACCATTAGACCTTGCGCTCCCTTCTGGCATAAAATGCTTTCTTTCATCCAGGGTTACTGTATTGTTGTTTTAGTAAGTTACGGTTGGCATTTGGCACGCAGTTACAGGGGCACAGAGGCCTTATTAGCAGGAAGAAATGAAAGTATTATGGAACAAAACAACTAAGTGGGACAGGATAACTCACAACAATGTGCCAGATTGTATCACGCTCGCATTTCACTTCATGGTATTGAATTCCCCCTACAAGTACAAGTGGATACAGCTAACTAAGGTAAAACACCTCTCTGCTTAGGTTATTTTCTATAATTGGAGACCACATTCTAAGAGGTTCTGAGCATGTGCACTTCCCCTTGCAGCCAAAAGGCCTAGTTATAGGCTCTTTAGTACATTTACTTCAGTTAAAAATATAGCTTGTATGCTAAATCTGTGCACTACTTATGTCTCACTTAAATCCTCAAATATTTTCTCTCCCCCCTCCTCTACTAAAAGGTTCAAGTAGGAATTGAAAGATACAAAACCCCTCATGTGCCCCTGGCACTGTCAGAATTTCTGAATTTCCTTCCTGATGTTTCAACATTGCAAAAGAAACTGAAGACCCAATTCTGTAAAATGGAAGTGTCCCCGAAGCCCCAGTCCTGAAGGTGGCTAAAGCAGAGCCAGCACAGTCCATTCATTACGTTCTCAGCTCCTTGTAGGAACCAGCCACACGACCCAAGGCCTTTGTCTGGTGCTTTTCAGCCTCAGAAGATTGGAATAAACAGATTATTTACACAAGGCAAAGTGCCCAGGCTTGCCAGATTACTGGTGGGAAGAACCATATTCTGTCTTATCTAGACTATAAAGAGCTGATAGCAAGACTTTATGAACATGTATTTTCCTTCGTCCTTTACTTGGAGAACAAAGAGAGCTCCACATTTAACATTTTATTTCCTTGTTCTTATGTAGATTTCAGACATGAACTGTCAGGAATTCGTGGCTCTGTCTCAAAGTCTCTCAGGCTACATAAAACCACTTTAGGACAGATGATACCTTCTATACCAACACAGTATCTCTCCCCCATCCCCCATATTACTTATCGCATTATTTCCTCTGTGTCTGTACAGACACATTATTGAAAAAGTATATATAGGGAATGCTGGGCTACATATTTAGAAAGGACTGTCATTTTTTAATCCAGAAAATGGATTCAAAATTTTGAAGGCAGTTTGAATGACAAAATTTACTTGCTGCTGTATTCAGAACAGTAGTTGTGTATTCAAAACAGCATGCTCATCTACTTAAATACTCCCTGCCCCCAGTATTGTCATCTGTTAGGAACCATGTCATCTTTTGCTAGAGTTGTGGGTTCTTCACTGAGAACCACAAGGGCCACCAGACACAGACATGACTGTCATCAAGTTCACAGGTAATACTTGTTTAAATGAGAAAATTTTCTTCCTTTTGCTGTTTTCTTTTCAACAGTGCCTGCAACTGGGAAACTAATACACTGGGGTATGCACACATCTACATGCTGCCCATGAATAATAAGACTTTAATGACATGTGGGGCTCAATGAAGCAAAGACTTACGCTTGGAATGTTTGTCACAGAGAGCCGATGCCCTCATGTCGCAGAGTCTCAGGGATCCTTTGCTGCTGCTGTAGACAAAGAGATTGCAGTGATGGGGATGAAACTCCGAGGCTGTAATCACTTCCGTCAGGTCCTCCATATTGGCTGGCTTTATATCTACAATGTCTGAATGGAAGTTTCATTAAGGAAAATGCAGTTGTTTGAAGGTAAACCATGACTCTTACTGCCTTCCTGAAGGAAGCATGTAAATGTCCATATATTTAGTGCTTCTAGATAAAGATATACTGCTCTCTTTGGCAGTAGCGTGTTTTTAAAACTCCATACCTGCTCTGTCTACACCAAACTCAAAGAGTCACTAGTTAGCTATAGTTTTACAGCAGATGCCATTAGTAGGTCAACATTTGTCCATGCTGTGCAAACAAAGACAACAAAGAAACAGTATTCCAGGAGAGATGGAATTCTCACCTTCATTAAAACTATAGAGAGCAGGTAGCTATATCTCCTGTAGCTGCTACTGAAATCACTGCTCTATCCCAGATAATACTGACTGATATGGAACAATGTACAGCCCAGTTCTGCTCACTCCAGTAAAGGCTCACTAGCTTTTACGATCATGCAACTTAAGCTAAAAAATACACGTAGCTTAAGTTAAAAGCCTCAAACAATAAACGTACTTTTTTGCAAAGGCAAACATGGCAAACACAGAAGCATTTATGCGAACAGTTTTGTGTGAATATATACTAATATAATAAACTTTCTAAAAATAATTTTGCACAGTATTGGTTTTGCTATTTGAATACTTACGAAAGAAGTATCTGTTATGTAAATGATGCTTCCTACTGAAATCAATATGAATTTCTGTGACTGAGAACTGTACATCCGAATCACTTAAGTAGACATAGCTGTAACAAAAATACACTGCAGATCTAGTTTCCCAAGCACAAACCTGCCAGTTGGATCACCAAAGATTATCTACGTGAAGTACAGCTCATGTAGTGCCTCTCCAACACATATATATCCACTCATACATATTACCTGCATTGGGGAGCTTAAAGACCAGGACCCAATTAGCATATATGTGGAGGAGAAGGCCAGTCTGTGGAATATTGCTTATAAAGAAAAGAATGAAAGAAAGAGTCCCATGAGGGGGCTGTAAGAAAGCAGTAGGTGTAGAAGCATAAAATGAAAGATGGATATATATGTAAAGCAGTACATTTAAATAAGATTGTACATTTTCAAAAGGCCCTCAGCAATCCGCTGTAGATAAGCCATCCAAATGTTAACAAATCCTTCAAACAAGAAGAGTAACATTATTACCCTATTTTACTGATGAGGCTGTGTAAGAGGCAATAAAGGATTTGCATAAGATCACATGGGACATGCATGACAGAACAAACTCAGATCTACCAAGTCCCAGTTCAGTGCCCTAAACACAAATCATCTCAGTGCCTGGATTCCCCAAACATCAAATTTGAATCAGATGATGTTCAAAATTTAAACATCTCAGAGGATAAGATAAATGAGAAAATCTGTTTTACTTATGGCAAGAGAAACCACGTATCATAATACTAAGCCTGTTTCTGTTCCCACTGTGTCAGCTTCCCAAATGGAAGACCTTTAATTGATTTCTGTGGGAATGGGGTACAGTCTATCACTACCTTTACACTCTACACTTTGATCTTTCCCAAAAATGCAGATCTGGGACACTACATTGAAATGAAACATAATACAAAGGATTCGGAGATAATTATCTTGATGACTTTGCATAGACAAATACATCACACTGTTTCTTTTTTTATGCCAACTGGTTTAAAAAGGAAAATATCCACAAAACTATGAATATCTTATGACATTTAGTAACAACTGGGAATGAATTAATGTTGCATTTCAACTGCATTCCCACTTAACTTGCACTATCACATTTGCATCCATCTCCAAGAATCCATCATGATTAGTATTAGTGCAATGAATGTTAAGATGTAGCAACACTGATTTACCCTTTTATAAAGCATCACTAAATATACTTGAAAATCAACAGGAAAAAAATAACCTTTATTCAGTTATTTGTATTAGATGAATCTGTCTCAAGAAATATCTTTAAGTAAAAGCAATTGCTTTCAGTGATTGAATTGCTTTCAGGAGTTCAGAGAAATTATAGTAACTCAATACAAAAATTTCACCTCTCAGCAGAGAGATGAATAATTGCTGAGTGATGAGAAAGGTATAAAATATAAATAGAGTATGTGAAACAGTCATGGTAAGTATAATTTTTCTGGATGCTGAAGACAATATCAATGAATTTCCCTTCATTGCATGAAATGAATAACCCTATGCTGAATAATGAAATTAAGTATTCCATTCTCCTGCCAGAAAAGCAGGAAATACTTGAAACAGACTGCATTTCCAGATGTGATCTAAATCTCCGCTGAGAAAGAACCTCATTGCCTACTGAGGATCAGAGAGAAAATGCACCACTGAAAATTCATCGTTTCGTTAGATTTAGAAAAAATAAAACAATAACACTTGTATTAAATAAACAATCAAGGGAATAGAGAGTTGCAGAAGAGATTTACCCCAAATACATTTATAATAATAGATGGAAAAACAGCCTTTACTTTGACAGCTACAGAACCCAATGTATCAAAAGAAGAACATGTCACACAAAAAAACATTTTCCTCCTCTCATGATTTTTGCCATCTATTTGAAAACAATCAAATACAGCTTGACATGTGATATGTGGGAACTGTATTTAAACTAGCATGACATGGTAAGGCAAACATCTCCCATGAGACATTTCACATTTCTATTTTTCCTTCTTCCCTTTGTGTCTTTTTCTTCCTTTTAAGCACAACTTCACATGGTAGGAAAATATAAAAAAAATTGGACCAGACAATGTGCTTCAGAAACAGGCCCTTTGGTGAACCTGAAGAGCTCAAAGACGAGGGAATCTGGCAGAAACTGATTAAACAAAAATTCTATTGCTAAAGGGAAAAGTATTCTAATGCACAGATCTGCAGAGTTGCCTCCTACGATGTCATCTTCCCTTGCAATTGCATCTCAAGGAGGGATGTCTTGATTGGGGCACAGTCCCTCTCCCCCAGTTCACTCACATCTGAATACCAGTCACGTCTGACTCCTGTTGTACCACATATAGTGTGGTTCATTTTCAGAGCGTGGACAAAACAACTAGGACCAAAGCTATCTAAAGACAGAAAGACCAAAGAGTTCATCACTGGCAGTGCACTAGAATATAATTCTGTTGTCCTAAAAAAGCTGGTGTTCCTGTGTCTGAACAGGGTAGGAATTTCCCCTGTGAAAAAGATCTTCACACTGCTTTGACCTCCATGCATGCTTGGCAGGAACGAGGCATTTTGATCCCTGGTAGATACTGGCGCTAAAGGAGGCTGAACTAGCGCTTTGCCAGCAAGAGGCTCGAATGCATTGGCAGTCTTTTAATTCATTAACATTAAAACAAAGAACAGAAAATATCTTCTTGCTTGCAAAAAACAGAGCAGGCCTGTCCCTCCTAACCCAACTGTTTGCCATCTTATATACCAGGTATCTCCTCCATTGTTTGGCTCAGGGAAATGGGATAAAGCCAACAGATTTTCCAGATGCTCTCCACAGCAAAATGGAAATGAAAGGTCCAGTATGCTTCACACCACAGTGGTGAGAGATGATGTTCTTACAGTTGGGTTAGTAGAGCTACAAGACCAGGAGTTAATTTTGGGAAAGGCAACAAAGATACTCTAAGGCAATGTAACCTTTAACTTTGGCTAAGAGTGTCTGTGTTGCTTTCCCCAAATTATTCAAGAACAGAGGTATAACACAGGAGAGCAGGCAGGTAGGACAGGACCTGACCGAGAGGAGAAAGGTGGCTTTAGGAAAAATCTGAGGGAGGGGAAGGAGGGAAGCAAAACAGTGGGAGAGGAAGGAGGGAAGAGCATAAGGAAAGGCATGATTAACAACCTGCAACAACACACGATCTGAGTACACGATTCAGTTATATGGTATGTTTAGTTCTAATCCAGCATTTCGTGCTGCTGTTGTGCAGCTGATATTAAAATGAGGATGACAGGAGGACAAAGATTTGTTCCACTGCCTCTGGGCCACTGATCTAACAGAAATGTACCCCTCTGGGAGAAGTCACTCCATAAAGTTCCTTTTAGTGCAGGTTACAAAGATGACCCTCACCTTGATCCAAAATTCACATTATTCAGACTTTCCCTCTTGATCAGCTGGAATATAAATGAGCATGCCTGCTTTATGCTCATGCCAAAACATGTATAATGAGAATGTGCAAAATGCATAGGG